CCAAATAAGTTTGTAAAAAGATTCTCCGATGTTGTTGTAAATGAATGTTTTGTATTAATTATGTTTGCTTCTGGCGTAATGTTCGGAAGAATTGATGTAATTTCATGGGACAACGATATGAAAGTCATATTGATTTTAAATGTGTTGGTAGTCCTTAGTTGTTGGTCGCTCCTCCTTTGATCTTGTAGTAGTAGTGACATATATAAGAAATAGATGAAATTGACAATGTACCATTTCATGTATTCTTCTGTGTGACATAATGAGCCTTGCATTGGATGACCCGTTATTAGCAGCTCACATTGAGCATGTCTTGTAACCCAATTTTCATCCCGTCTTCCTCTCATGTCAATTTTGTGGAGGTCATTCAAATTATTCAGTGGAGAAGAAACTTCTTGGAAGAGACGAAACTATAATTTGACTCTATCTGTTTGGTGTCATTCAACAATTGCAAAACAAAGGATGACAGTACATGAAGTCTACAGTTGGACATCTCTATATGCTTCTATGGGTATTGATGTTTGCAAGTCTTGATATGACGCCCATAAAAACTATAAATAAATTTAACTTTGTTACTTAAGATGATGTGTAAAAGATAAGAAAATAAATATGAAGAGTTATCTTATTAGCTTGAATGTGATCAAACATTGATCTGTATTCCACAATATTATTATGTAGGTGAATTACTAGAAATTGGCACAATATATAACATGCGATACTATGCTCAAAACATTAACAGTGATGAGCAACCACCCATTGTTTTGCTACCAACTTCTGTGACTCTGCATATTTCCCTGTACAGCATAGTTAAACAAGCAGAACCCCAACTATATCGTCTTATTCTTCTAAGATTAGTTAATAAACCTAAATACATAAGATGTACTTTGTTGCCTGTTTTGTCAAGCATCAAAATACCTCAAATTAAACCTAGTATATAAGCTCTACAATGGGCTTGAACTTCTTCAGATGGTTCTTCTGGTAATTGCAACATGTTGTCTCTCAGCCACTTCAGTTTCAGCATAGAGCCAATAAGTGACTCTCCCTTGACTGACATGATATCGAGATATGTGTCACACATTTCCTCTCAGTCAAACATTATTGGAGCAATGACTGGTAAATCATCAATTCTTAGTCCAAGTTGAAGTGCAACATCCTCCAGGGTTATGGTGCACTTCCCTATTGGAGAATAGAATGTGTGAGTTTCAGGTCCCTACCTCTTGACCAAAACTGTTATCAATGCGTGATCCACCTTAAGATGTCTTAGTTTTGCTACCCTAGCAAAACTATGTTGTTCAAGTATATGAACAATTAGAGGACTGGGTTCTGACATTAAATGACAGAAAGCAGTTTCCTGCAATTATTAGTAAATTAGTCACATTGTATGTAGAATATTGATTTACATATTCAATTAATAATGGTAATGTGTAAAACTTACCGTTCTTCCAATGAAGGCGAACCTTTGTTCGTTTTGCTTCCACAACAACATTTTTAGTAATGGGAGCAAAGACAGAGAGAAACAAAGAACAAAAATGGATGCAGGTTTGAATGAAAACATGTGGCCTTGGATGAATATATTTATGATACACTTTGGGATGACTTGAATGAGAAGAGAATCTAATATTAGGTGTGACTGAGAAGTCACCTGGTCTAAGTGAATGTCAGAAGGCATCTAGAGAAAGCTTGTTTGGAAGTATATGGGATGGCTTGAATAAGAAGAGAATCCAATGCTATGCATGACTGAGAAGTCACTATCTCTTAGTCTATGTGAATGAAGAGGTCCCCATCATTTGTAAAACGTGGTGAAGCATTGAATGACCGAGAATCCAATGTTACTATTATAAATAGTCATATTTATGTTCATTACGTACTCTATGTTATCAGTAATATTTTATACAATTGCTTAGTTAGTTATATTAATTTAATTTATAATCTTGTTTCCAGCATATGGGATGGCCGAACCGAGATTCTTATACTATTACAACATAGTAAAAGATAATAATCCTAAAGCTGCACAATGGTAGGACAACATTTCAAGGGAAAAATAGACACTGACATGGGACAACGGACGACACTGGGTCGACCCTTTATTGTTCTTTAATGTACATCTCTGTTCTCTAATGTACATTAGAGAACAATAAAGAGTCGACCCATCAATGTTATTCTTATTAGTAAAAGATAATATTTTTGTTTTTCTTATTATATTATTTAATATAATTTTGTAAAATAATATAATAAGAAAAAAAATATTATTTATTATCTTAAATATGTAAAATAAATTTTATTATTATTTTCAAATAGTATAAAAATATAAACATAATGCAAATAATAAAACTTATTTTATTATATATAATTAACAAAATATTTATAAATATTTATTAGAATAATATATTATAAATATTTATTTATTTTTCGGTTTCCCATTCGATTTAATCCGTATTCGACCTGGGTCGCACACCTGGATGTGGTAAGTGAGTCTACTACTAGAGATTTTTTACATACACAAGGGCTCGAACTTGAGACCTTACTTAAGTGATACCAAGCCACTTGTCATTTTGCTGCTACAGTATTCAGGTCTATTTGGATAAATAAAATGTAGATGAGTCTATTTCTGTATTTTTTTTTAAAAAAAATTGCGCCTTTTTTATTTGATTTTTCTTCCTTTTTTATATCTTTTAGTATTTGTTTTGCTGTGAGCATGTGATAAGTATCTTATCCATTTGATTTTGCTTTCTTTTTAATATCTCCTGGTGCATATTCTACCGTGAACATGTGATATAATACTATATTAGTGTTTTGTTCATAATCACGTGTATATATATATATATATATATATATATATATATATATATATATATATATATATATATATATATGTGTGTGTGTGTGTGTGTGTGTTTAAATAATGAAAAAATTATTGGGTTAGTCATGTTTAATATTTATTTGAAAATTTTAAGATGTTGATAATGTTACAAATATTTTCTTTTATTCTTATTATTACCATTTTTATATTATTATTATTATTATTGTTATAATTTATTTGTGTATTGATATTGTTATCTTTAACATTGTTTTATTTTGATATAAAGTTGATATGATTTGATTAGTAAATTACATTTAAAAAAATTATAAACAAATATATAAATAAAATAGTTATATAAATGTATGATATTAATGTATAGTTTTTTTTATCGTCAAGTATCATAAATTGATAAAGTTTACGTGTACTTACGTTACTGAGATTTTAGGCAATATTAATTTATTATATTTTTTTAAATAATAATTTTTTTTCTTAATAATCAATCAAGATGTATTCTCACTCTAATTACTATTTTACTAATCAATCAATTTAGATCAAAATATTTTTCATACAACGATTTATGATCTTAACATGTAACATATCTACCTTCATGCATTATAAATCTTAAAGTTAATATGTACCTACGTTATTATTAACTTCATGCAATATAATTTTTTTTAAAAATTGAATGATATTTTACTAATTATTTTGCCTTTATAAATTGTATCCTTTCAAATGTTTTTATTTTAATCAGCAATGATTAATTTATTGATTAAATTAACGATAATAATAATCTCGTTGATACATTATTTTATGAATTGATTAATCTAAATATCTTCTTTTAAAAATTTCTGCTCTTAATCAATAAATAATTAAAAAATTAATTTATTAACTAATTTAATTCAGCAGTTTGTAACGTCATTATGTAGCGTCTCTACCCTTATACGTTTTAAATCGTTAAGACATTTGTATATCAACGTTAGCTTGGTATCACGCAATACAAACTTGTTAAAAATATATTTTAACTTCTCTTAATTAAACATCTATCTTTACTAATCAATTTATATATATATATATATATATATATATATATATATATATTTGTTCTCTTTAAAATTAATTTCATATTAAAAATTTGTAAACTCTGTTTCCAACTTTAATAAAATATTTTTAATAAATTTTAGTTATATAATGTTTTGTGACATATGTGTAATTTACATTGCCTTTGGTCAACAAATAAGTCATGAGATATTTATGTATAGTTTACGCTATCTTAAATGTCTTCAATATTAAAATTTTTGAATTAAATAATATATTAAAAATACTTTTTCATAAATTAAAACATTCGATCTTAATTATCACACTTTTTATAATGACTTACAGTATGGATGTGTGATTTTTCTTCCCCATATTGTTTATCTTAGAGTAACATGTATAACTGCACTATCTTGTATCCTAAAATATATAAACGATTCTTATTTCTTTTCTCTTAAAATAAATATATAAAATAATTAATTTTAAAACAAGCTCTTTTAAAGTCTCATAAATCTCAAAATTTTTTATATAGAATTACGTGACTTTGAGGTGTTGAGTTCGCACCTGGAGATATGTAGGAGCAGAATCATATCCGTCAAGTCAAAACAATTTTTATAAATATATTTTTTTCTTTTCTAAGATATAACTTAATATTTTTAATAAATAAATCTTCTTTCTTTAAAAATAAAAATAGCAACATTTATTTTTTAATGGTTAAATAAATACTTTTCAAAATTATAATAAATTTATATAATTAAATTACGGTAACCGTCATTTAAACGGACATGGTAAGGTGCTAACACTTTCACTACATCTAAATGACTCTCAAATCTATTTTTGTTTTCAAATATCAAAATTTTAAGTTTTTTCGAAGTTTTCTTTGATAAACTTTAGTAGCAATTCTACTGATTTTTCTTAAAAATATTTTTTTTCTGTCGCAGCCACCCGGTTATGACAGCAACATTACTTGTCGTATGAAGTAGTTCATCAAATAATGTAGTCTCGTGAAAAAGATCAAAATATATAAAAATACAATCAATTCTATTTTTTATATATTTTTTAGTTCGAAATAAAACAAAGTTACAACAAACTCGTGAAAGTTAAAAAATGGCTGAAATTAAAAAAAAATCGTTTGTATCTTTTTGATGTGTCACACTCACAACATCTTAAGCTAGTTCCTTGAACTTTTCTTACTTTTGCTAATCTTAAATAGGGCATCAAGTAGTACAGGTATGCAAATGCCACGAGACATATCCACTTGTTGTACTTTAGAGGCGTCAGAACATGATCCTTTTGCTAATGTTTTCTTCTCCTTTTCTTCTAATCTTAACGAATACAAGCGTTCCCTCTCACCTGATCTTATTCCAAGTAAATGGCCGAGGGATACACTGTTGTCTTGAAAGAAAGATGCCGTGGACTAGTTGTTCCAACAGAAGAAAGCAATTAGAAAAATCTACATCAATTCAGTGCTAAACAGTTTAAACCACTATATAGCAACTACAGTCAATGACTAGTGCACAATTTCATAGGCATGTGGTTTGCACAGAATTCCTTTCCATATTAACAGAGGTTCTGTTAAAGCCTAGAAATTAATTTGTTATTATGTTCATTTGTGCACGCTTGACCTTAAGTATAGTGAGCTACAAAGTGGAGTTACTACTAACTATATACCTTTCTCTTTGTTTCAAAGTGCTTTTCACTTAATGGAATGAGCAAAAGCATTGTATCTAATCAATAGTGAGAGAGGAGATTACCTCTGTATCAAGGTTGGAGGATGAGAAGGAGGAAAAACTGGTGGATGGAATGTGGAGTGAGTATGACTCTGCTGGAGCAGAAGGGGGTGATTCCGCAACTCTAAGTCTCATAATATTCAAAATGCCAAGACCAAATGGCCATCCAATAGGCACCTCATCATTCTGAGAATAAATGGCAAAAAAAAATAGCAACATTTAGTTTAAAATTGGTGCCTATTGCCTAATGAAAAAGTTACAAAATATAATTTTAGAAAACGTATATGCATTTATAAACAGATTAGTCAAAAGGGTTCAGGTGGAGTCGAAAATTTATGATCAATAAACTGGTATTTCCTCTAGTAAAAGTACTTGAAATCATACAATGCATATTCCATTACACCTATTATGTCGTATATACATAATGAGTTCAAGAATGTGGATTAAATGTAAAGGTGAGCCTGCTCTTTTAAACTACGAGCTACTTTAAACTTGTGATTTGGCTGACTAAGCTTCTGCATCAAAATGGGTCTAGTTAGTAGAGGTCTTCTCATGATGGATGCATACAAAAGTTCAGTGGCTTAGCCTAAAGGAGAAATTATATTCACAGGGCTACTGGAAAGTTGTCGGTGGATACTGGAGTGCCAAATTCAACTTGCAAAATAAAAGTTATAAAGGGAAAAGTTGTGCTGAATTGGATCAGTTATGTTATGTAGAACGAATACTACGCTAGAAAAACAGAAAGGTTGAGCAATATGTAAGGTACAATTGCTGCCAAAGTTCAGGTGTATGGGTCATGCAAACCTGACACATTCTAACATTATTTATTGTCCATACTATCCTCCTTGTGGTGCTAATTCTTTGCTCCTTCAGTCTTGCTGATATGAAGATGCAATTCTTCCCTTTAATAGATGTAAAGAAAGGATTAAAAAAATTATCTACAAACCTGGTATTCGGGAGGATCATAAAATTCTTTATCATATAACATGGGTGAGGTTAACAAGATATTGTGTCTTTAGATTCTAAAACGCAGAAAATTTGTTCTGACCACCTTTTGGTATCTATGTCAGACAGTAAACACTGTCACCCATCATCTATGAATCTTCATGTCATATTTACAGAGCTTATTATTTCTGCAACTAGGTTCTATTTCTGGTTTGCTGATTGTACAAACTCTTCTACTAGCGTTATGGCTAACTACAAAAGAAAAAATATACTAACTTATTAAAGGAAGTGGACCTGAGACAAATCAATGGTGATTAAACTGTTCATATAATTCATATTTAACTGGTGTCCCCTACAATTTTAAAGTAAAAATACATGCTCATGATTCAGTGGTTTTTATGGGCTCATTTCTCCAGATATTTCTCAGATCTATTACTCCCCCTTATTTTATTGTACATATTTTATTTTTCTTAAACATTTTGCTCCATTCAATTTTGGATTTGGCCCACATCATGTGCCTCTGCTAGATTTCCATATCTTGTTACATGCTATATCAAATGCAAAGAATAGTAAGGCAATGATACATGGATGGTTTAACAGATAATTGTTTCAGTGAGAAAGACATTTAAGTGAAACTGTGCTCCTACACCATCTAATTTGACATGTTATGCTAAAAATTCAAAATTGAATCTGCCACTTTCATGGCTTTAACTCTTAAGTTTCCAAAATTATAAAATAGTAATCTCCCTGACAGGGGACCAGCATTTGCTACCCCATCTTCTGTACTAACTTCTGCTTCTAGTAGATGACATGTTGACATAATCAGAACTGTTCTTTCAGTTCAAACCACATTCTTACAATTAAGTTCGGACAACAAACATTGATGGGTTTTAATGAAATGTTAATTCGTATGCCCACCAATTTTACAACTACTTACATTATGGTCCTAACTAGAGACACTAATGGGGTCTTTTCTTCATGTCAGTCCATCTGGAAAGTACAAATTTTACAGTACACACATTGATCATAGACATGGTTTTCTTTTCATCATGCCAGTTCATCTGGAAAAGCAAATTTTACTAACAGCAGTATGGTGAAGATCACTTTCGGCTAATAAAATAGCAAGAAACTCACATAGGACCAGGAATTCATTTCTCAGTTCCATTAAAAAGCACATGCAAGATTAACAATAAAGAACAACATAAAATCTGTTCCTCACTATCTAATTCAGGGAATCAAGAGAAGAAACAAGACTGCATACATTAACCACGCATAGAGAGAAAAACCAGAGGCACAAAAGTTCAGTTTCAGTTCCAATTTAAAATTAAAACATTTCACAGCTCAAGCATATTATTAACATGCATTCATCACCAGCAATAACATACCCAGAAAAAAAGTCTTGAACTTTTGTAGTCCCAACAGTGATATAAATGAAAACAAGCTAAGAAAAAATGGGAATGGGAATAGAAATACAGAATGACAAAAGAAAATGGAGAAAGAAGGCATATTTTGAATGTCTTAGTTCTTATTGTGCATAAGAATAGCAAAAGAGCAATGAATTATTATTGATATTACCTCTGAAACCATGGTGTCTCTGCGTCTACCGAGAATTGAATAGGAAAATGATGATCACAGAGGAAACTGAAATGTTGTATTGGAGAGAAAACGAAGAAGAGTTTACGTGTCTCCAAACTAGCGTAATAGTATTCTTTCTTAAACGTTAGACATTTAAGACTCCGGGTCCCACTTGGCCTGTTGGGCATTGCTTCAGTTGGAAATGAATTTTGCACACCAAATTTTTAGCACCAATTCATGATATTTCAGCAACTAATTAGCAATGCATATTAATCAATTTATATTTTTAATTAATTTTTATAAAAAATAATTTATTCATGATAATTTTTTTAAGCTTATAATTAAAAGTTCAGCTTATTTTTTTAGTCAACTTTTATTTTCATATTTTACTTTTTATAATTGATTGTTTTTAATACAAAATCAACTATTTTTTGCAACTTTATACCCTTTTTATAATTTTTTAGAAAAATTAATTATTTTATACCTTTAAAATATAATAAATTATTTTTAATTAATCAAAACACACAAACTTTGTCTATTTAATTATTTATAATTTATCTAAAATGATAAGAAGATTTTAGAGTAAAAAAACTGAGCTAACCATATGTTAGGGAGTGTAATTTTGACAAAAAGAAGCATATGCGATAAATATTTTTATTTTTTAAAATAAAAATTAATTAGTATGAATTGATTAATTTGTATAAATATTATATAATTTTTAATTAAAAAAATATACATTAGTTAATAGAAAACAATGCTACAACATCTAATAATAGGAGGGGAAAATACGAAGAGTAATTGATTAAGGCTCAATTTAAATGGACTATTTAAAAATCTCTTTGCAGAAGAAAAAAATAATCAGTATAAAAAATGATTAATTTTTTTATAAGTTAAAAATAACATATCTTTTTAAAATTTAGAAAAATTAAATAAGATAGATTCTTAAAGTTTAAAAAAATAAAAAGTATAAGTTGTTTTTAAATAATAAAAAATTATATTCTTTGTATATACTCATTTTATTTTTCTAACTTCGCTAAAAATGCATCTAAATTTGACTTCCTAAAATTTTATTTTAATTTAACAATAGAGATTTAATTGACTTATATACATAAATGTTAAGATTTAAATTAGAAATTTATTTTAATGCATTGTTATATAAAAATTTGTATATTTTAAATAATTAAATTATTCAATAGATATAATTTTAAATAAATTATTATAAAAATTAATAATTCTTATTAATATATAAAATAATACTGTACAAAAGTTACATTTTTAATATATAGAATAATTTCAAGACTGAAATGGACCGATTGATCATTTTAAAATGATAATTTATGAACGGTATAAGAAAAGTGCTTTTACTGTTTTTTGCCACTTAGCCTTTGTGTTCGATCGGTGGGATAGCAATGTAGAATTCAAAGCAGTTGGCAGCATTCGTCATTTGTGTATTTTTGGTTTGGATTTAGTTCATTTAAATAATGAATATATATATATAATTAAAATAGTTAAATTATGTAAGTATATAATAATTTATAAACTTACTAAATTTTAATTAATTATTTTTAATCAATAATTATATTTAAATTTTATCTTTTAAAATGTATTCCCTAATTTTTGAAGAACGAAATCCGTTTACCAAACTATGTTGGCTACCCATAAAGAAATCGTTTTTTCTTCACCATGTCCCTTAAAATTTGTATTATTATTATTATTTGCTTGAATAGTAACACTGATTATTATGTTCAATTCTTATTGTTAGTAGAGAGAAAAAAATATAAATCTCAATCATGAAAGTTTTTTAAAAGCATTTGGATGAGTTATCCTAATTATGTTTGGTCATTAGCATAAAATATTCATTTTAGTTATTTTTATATAAAAAATTGAAATCATTAGTAATTATAGAGTTTAAGGATACTTCTAGTTCCTATTATTTTATTCTTAGTAATTTATATGAGTATGGACTAGATAATACCAAATATTTTCTTCTTTTGAACGTCAATACCATATTGTATTATAGTTATCTGCAGATTTGATGAATGATGCACATGGCTACAGAAAGTTTATGTGTCTTGTAATTTGGGGATGGATCATGAATATATAAAATACCCAATTAATTATCATTCTTATAGCCGACAGTTAATAACTATTATGATGAAAGGGAATAACAGATATCGACATAAACCCATTGTCAGCTTCTGTATGACCATATTATCATCCTCCTTTTCCTGCTCTAACAAGTAATAAGATGTTCTTTTCCTATTACGATCAATTTGAATTTAAATGAGTTTCTGTTTTCTCTTGAGGTAGAGAAAAATATACTTAAAAAATAATAATTAGTATTATCTTAAAATTTTAAAGCAAGAACAGAAGTTTCTTTTAAAACTAAAATTGAAAGCGTTTGATTTGGTTACTGCATCTGCATGGTAGGGATGCAAAGGAGCGTCGGTATCCGTACATAGTGTGTGTGTGACACAGTTCTTACCACTTCCCTTCAATTTGAGTCCAACACTTGTGCACCACTCAAATGCTTCCACGTGGACTTGTCTCTTTGTTTTGATTAGGGTTAAGGATGGTTGGTATGTGGCACTAATCTTAATTATTATGATAATCGATGGTTGAGTAGAAGCAATCACAATCCATTGTGAAATTTGGATGTGGGTTCCTTCCCTTTCAACTGTAAATCTATCTATCTTTAT